CCAACAGGGACATCTGCCATGGTGACATCTGTGGTGCCACTTCCCCTGGCTGTGCCACCTCCCATGGTGACACCTCCTGCGGTGACATCTCCCGTGGTGCCACCTCCCCTGGCAGTGCCACCTCCCACGGTGTCACCTCCTGTGGTGACATCTCTCATGACGGTGTCACCTCCCACGGTGACATCTCCCACGGTGACATCTCCCACGGTGACATCTCCCACGGTGACATCTCCTGTGGTGCCACCTCCCCCAGCAGTGCCACCTCCCATGGTGACATCTCCCACGGTGACATCTCCTGTGGTGCCACCTCCCCTGGCAGTGTCACCTCCCGTGGTGACATCTCCCACGGTGACATCTCCCGTGGTGCCACCTCCCATGATGGTGACATTTCCCCCGGTGCCACCTCCCCCGGTGCCACCCGTGTCGCCACCCCCCGTGCCGCTCCGTGTCCCCCCGCTCCTCTCCCTCTCCTGCCCCACCACCCCCGCTGGCCACCGCCGTTGTCCCCTGTCCCTCTGCTCCTCCTGCTGCTCCTCATCCCCTGTCCCCAACCCTCGGTGGCCGCCACCTTCAAGGTGGCCGTGCTGGGTCCCTGGGCCTGCGACCCTTTGCTGGCTCGGGCCTTGCCGGACGTGGCGTCGCGCCTGGCCGTGGCCCGGCTCAACCGCGACGCGGCGCTCTCGGCCGGTTACTGGTGGGACGCCGTGGTGCTGCCCGAGGCCTGCTCCAGGCCCCAGGCCGTGGCCGGCCTGCTCAGCGCCGAGCGTTACGCCAGCGCCATCGTGGGTCCCCTCAACCCCGCGGCCTGCGGCGCCGCCGGGCTCCTGGCCGCCGCCTGGAACAAGCCCTTGGTGTCGTGGGCGTGCGGCGGCGGCGTCGGGGCCTCCACGTTGGTGAACCCGTTGCCCGCTCCGGCCGCCGTGCTGCACGCCGTGCTCAGGTATTTCCGCTGGGCCCACGTGGCCGTGGTGGCGGCGCCGCAGGATCTGTGGGTGGACACAGCGCAGGAGTTGGCCACGGAGCTGAGGGCCAGGGGGCTGCCGGTCACCGTGGTGGCCACGGCCGGAGAGGAGGAGGAGGAGGCGGAGAAGGCGCTGAGGAAGGTGCAGAGGGCGGACGGGGTGAGAGGTGAGGACGGGAGGGAGAGGATGGGGATGGGGGGATGGGATGAAATGGGATAATGGGATAGGATGGGATGATGGGATAGGATGGGATAGGATGGGAACAATGGGATCAATGGGATCAATGGGATAATGGGATAGGATGGGATGATGGGATGGGATAATGGGATCAATGGGATCAATGGGTAATGGGATAGGATGGGATAATGGGATCAATGGGATCAATGGGATCAATGGGATCAATGGGATCAATGGGATAATGGGATCAATGGGATCAATGGGATCAATGGGATCAATGGGATCAATGGGATAATGGGATAATGGGATAATGGGATCAATGGGATCAATGGGATAATGGGATAATGGGATAATGGGATGATGGGATAATGGGATCAATGGGATGATGGGATAACGGGATCATGGGATCATGGGATAGGATGGGATCATGGGATCATGGGATCATGGGATGGGATAATAGGATGATGGGATCAATGAGATAATGGGATGATGAGATGGGATGGGATGAATGGATGAAGATGGTGGACATGGATGGATGGATGAATGGATGGATGGATGGATGGATGGACGGAGATGGTGGACATGGATGGATGGATGTGGAAAAGGATGGATGGATGAAGATGGTGGAGATGGATGGATGGACGGATGGACGGATGGACGGATGGATGGAGATGGTGGACATGGATGGATGGATGTGGAAAAGGATGGATGGATGGATGAAGATGGTGGAGATGGATGGATGGACGGATGGACGGATGGACGGAGATGGTGGACATGGATGGATGGATGTGGAAGAGGAAGAGGAAGGATTGGATGAAGATGGTGGAGATGGATGATGGATGGATGGATGGACAAATGGACAGATGAAGGATGGACAGATGGTTGGATGGACAGATGGTTGGATGGACAGATGGAGAGATGATGGATGGACGGATGGACGGATGAAGATGGTTGAGATGGATGGATGGATGGACAAATGAACAGATGAAGGATGGACAGATGGATGGACAGATGGACGGATGATGGATGGATGATTGGACGAACGGACGATTGGACGGACAGACGGACAACCAACCACCCACCCCAGACGAACCCCAACCGTGACACCCTCAGAGCGCCGCACTGGGGCGCCACCTCCCGGTGCCACGCCCCATTGTCCCCTGGTGTCCCCCGCTGTGTCCCCTCCCCTCAGTGGTGGTGATGTGCATGCACTCGGTGCTGCTGGGCGGCCGCGAGCAGAGGGTGCTCCTGGAGAAGGCCGAGGACCTGGGCATGACGGACGGCAGCCTGGTCTTCATCCCCTACGATGCGCTCACCTTCGCGCTGCCCTACCGCCGCGTGCCCTACGCCGTGCTGGCCAACAACACCAAGCTGCGCCTGGCCTACGACGCCGTGCTCACCGTCACCGTCGACTCGCCCGACGCCTCCTTCCGCGACGCCCTCGAGGACGCCAAGAAGGCCTACGAGGTGCCGGCCAACCTCGACCCCGCTGAGGTGGGGCTTGGAGTGGGGGGCGGGGAGAAGCCTGGGGAGGGATTTGGGGGTATCTGGAAGGGTTTTGGGGGTGTCTGGAGGGGGTTTGGGGGGTGTCTGGAAGGGGGTTTGGGGTTGTCTCAAGGGGGTTTTGGGGTATCTTCAGGGGTTTTGGGGCATCTCGAGAGGGTTTTGTAGGTGTCTGCAGGGGTTTTGGGGCATCTCGAGAGGGTTTCGGGCATCTTGAGGAGGTCTAGGGCATCTCAAAGTGGGTTGGGGGCATCTCAAGAGGATTTGGGGCATCTTGAGGAGGTTTAGGGCATCTCAAAGGGGGTTGGGGGCATCTCAAGAGGGTGTTGGGGGTGTCTGGAGGGGTTTGGGGGTGTCTGGAAGGGGTGGGAGGGCATCTCAAGAGGGTTTGGGGCATCTCTGGAGGGTTGGGTAGAGATGGCCATGGCCACCAACTTAAGATGGAGGTGATCATGGTCAGCACAAGATGACCATGGCCAGTGGGAGATGACCATGGCCAACACAAGATGACCACGGCCAATGGAAGATGACCATGGCCATCTCAGTTGACCATGGCCAATGGG